CCCCCACCCAGTGTGTCTCCCACCTTAATACCCTGTGTAAACCCCCTTGTTACATTGTAATATACATCACATTTAACCTTTCAGTTTACTCTTGTCCTCCCCCCCCATTGAAGTCACCCCCTGCACTTTTACCTTGAACCTTAAACCTCCCTCTTCATTGTGTGTTTGTGTTATTTGTGTGTGTGTGTGCATTGTGTTATTTGTGTGTGTGTTATTTATGGCTGTAATTTGATATCCAGTTGTGACATTTTGCCGGTCTTGTAATAACACAATACATTTTTGTAAGGACCAAGGTTATCCAGAAGATAATGATGGATATAATAATCTGTTTTTATTTTAGAGACCCCACCTTGCCATTTGATGCTTGATTGCGTGTGTTTGTGGTATTTGTGTGTATCGTTATTTGTGGCTGTAATTTGATGTCTAGTAGTGACTAGTTCCGGGTCCGGTAATAATACAATACGTGTTTGTAATGACCAGGGTTATCCAGAAGATAAGGATGGATAAGAAGAAAGAAAGAGCATCAAAGAATAAGCCTAATCCAGGAAACAGCAATGAGGATTTGAAGATTTCAGGTAAAGGATCGGTTTGTACGGAGCGTCCTGTAATGGTGAATGTATTGTGTGTTCTCCAACCCTTATAGATATGCAGCGAGTTCGGACTCTGCCAGTGTGTTATGGCACCAGCTGAATCCTCTTTGGAGCCAAACTGCTGTTACCATCTTTAAGGGCCATTTACTAACCTGAGAATTCAAAGTGAATTTTAAATTTAAGGACAAAATAGCCGAACTGGAAACCTTCTCCAAGTCATGTCTACTTCTTAGATCAGCTAGTCTGGCCTTTAATTCCCTCTTTAGTAAATAAGTGTTAGTTATTAGCCTGATTAGTATTATCAGCGGTTTGCCGTGACCAAATTCTGCTAACTCCCACGCATTTTACACATCATGTTATCGGTGTTATTTTACCTGTTTGTGATTGTTTATCTGTCTCTGTAGCAAACATCGCCCTGGATAGGACACAACTGACTGCAGGTAATGACCATTGTTAGCTATTATTCATATTAATAAAGGTGAAATCCTTATAAAACCGTTTTATTTACACATTTTATAACTATAATTGTGCTGCCGTTCTAAGATTTACAAAACGGAAAGTCAATGTATTTAAACAATGTACATTCACTTTATCCGTCAGCTAGTGAGAAATAACTCCACTTTATATCGCTGCGTTTTGGAAATTCGTTTTTTTTTTTTCCTTTTGATATTTTATTATTGGTCGATTTTTACTTTTTATATTCACATAGCTGTTCTTTCTGCATCATCCTTTTTTCAGCCAGGGAATGACTTATTTTTGAAAGCAGTCGCTGGAGAATTTGTCTAGTTTACATCTTTTGACCTAAAACATGTAACACCCTTCACAACTCTCTGCAATGTGCATTTTTGTGACTGAATCCCAGATTCCCAGAGAGTTGTGTATTTTCTGTAATAAGAATCTTTCCCGTGTACACTGTGTCAGTGTTGTGTTATTTACAGAGGATTACCAATGCACTGGCATCCTGGAGCAAGATTTTACCGAGCTTTGCTGTCGAGTGGGATATATTGAAATTCCAAAAGTCCTTGCATACCCATCTACGCCAGGATCTGAAAAAACTGGTAAGCTGAAACTCTCTGCGATATTATGGGCCAAGTATATCGCTCTGCTTAGAACTGATCATATAGTCGTCAGTTTAGGGGTATTCAGGGGTCCTCAGCTGTTGTGGAAAACATCAAGGCTTTTGTTAATTGTTGATCTTTGTGTCCAACAGATAATTCAGAAAGTGCAGATGTTATCCAGGTCGGATCAGGCCAGACATCTGATAGGTTCTCCTACTTTAAACCCAAAATACAGATTCTAATGGAAAATGAAGACCCAAAATCCATTAAAGAGATTTCTATCCGAGGTATGTCTGTCCATCTGCCCTGTTTGTAGAAATGTAAACACTTCATTCTATACAACCAACCAAATCTTAACTTTTTGTTGAACAAACTGGGAAATCTGGCCTCCCCATGTTTGTTTGTTCTTGATAACATCCCTCTACGATTTGCTTCCATTCACATTACTGCGAATATCAAGTTATAATACAAAATGGGGACGGGCCTGAATCACGGTGAGTGGAGCTTTATTTAAAGGTCCTTGCAGTGATATTTCGATTACGTTTGGCTGTGATATCCGGTGGAATGAAAGGCAAGGGTTACAACACGTTGTACGATACAGATCGATTTCACGTGTTTTATAGTGGGAAAATCTGTATGAAATAAAATCTTTTTTTAATCCGTGAACCTCATAAACACTGACTTTGTAAAATATTACTTTATCTCTTTGTTTTACAGGGTGGAAGATTGAAAGTAAAATGATCAGCGTTCTTGCTAAGTGTCTGCCTGCGCTTGCCAATCTGCAAACTGTCAGGTGAATAATACATCGAATCCCTTCTTTCTCCAGTCACTGCCAAACCGCTAACATAGGAGATGTATGCCCATTAGCAATGTTAGACGCATGTCTAGGGTGCTGATCCCATTAGACTGTTATATGTTGCAGTAATGGAAAAACAGAATGAGAATAACGCACAACGTTCAGGCAAAGGAAGAACAATATTCATGAAACCTTTTATTTACACGTAATCACCTGACTCTGCAGCTTTGTCTAGGCCCAGTGTACTTAACCCTAACTGAGTGAAGACTTAATGTCAGTATCCTTAAACCAGACTGAGCAAAGACTTAATGTCAGTATACTTAAACCTAAATGAGCGAAGACTTAATGTCAGTGTACTTAAACCTAACAGCAGAGACTTAATGTCAGTGCCCCCACCCTCAGGTTCCCCCTCCCGCCGCGCTCTAGGGGGTGGAAGGGGTTGAACGTACCTCTTTCTCCAGCGCCGGGCGGGGAGTTCGCCTCCTCCTTCTCTCCGCCTCCTCTCCTCCTTTCCTATGGACGCTGGCGTCTTCTCACTGTGAAAATCACAGTGAGAAGCACACAAGCGCCTCTAGTGGCTGTCAATGAGACAGCCACTAGAGGCTGGAATAACCCTAATATAAATATAGCAGTTTCTCTGAAACTGCTATGTTTATAGAAAAAAGGGTTAATCCTGGCTGGACCTGCCACCCAGACCACTTCATTAAGCTGAAGTGTTCTGGGTGCCTATAGTGGCCCTTTAAACCAGACTGAGCGAAGACTTAATGTCAGTATACGTAAACCTAACTGAGCGAAGACTTAATGTCAGTATCCTTAAACCTAACCGAGCAAAGACTTAATGTCAGTATACTTTGTAGCAAACTCACCCCTTTAAAAGAGTTTGCCATGAGCTTTTGGAAGGGCCTGCTTGCCCACCTCCTGCCATGTGACTATGGTCCTGGGGGTATTGCCCTTTAAAGACAGTATTTGGGCATATTGTATTTTACTGCACTGTTTCTGGCCCTTTAAGTACTTTGGGAGAAGACCTGCAGTTTTGGCTTGGCACTTCGGATGCCGCCGAAATAGTCAAGTGGCCGCCATTCGAAAACTGAACACGTGGCGGCAGCCATTTTGATTCATTCGAATGCGGTCAGCGTGTGTGCTGTCAAATCTACAGAACAGTTTTCGGCTACCCAATTGCACGAACACCGCTGACCTGTACATTCTCCTCTACTTCGACACTGCGGCTGGAGACTAAGTCCCGTTCTAAGATTCGAATGCTCGTTCGAATGGTACTTAGCCATTTTTCAGTGAGAAATTGACCGACCGCAGAGCCCAAATCTATGGAACTGTTTTGGGCAGGAAAATAAAGGGACCTCCACCTAACTTTTTAACCCCTGAACGGATTTGTGTGGTTTTTACACATGTTGCTCCCCGAGTTATGCTGATCACAGAAATTTAGTTTTATTCGTATGTGATGTAAAATCAGGGCGTTATAAAAATGTATAAAAAGTATAATTTTTCAGCTTGGAGATAATTGGGTAGATACAGTAAGTAACTCAATTATCCCCCAAGCAGAGGGGAGGGAATATGTGGGATGTAACCATTGTTTGATTGGCTAATGCATAATTGTCTGTGGGTGTCTCCCTTGCATGGGAGAAATGCTAAATAACAGGGTTTACGTGGACTAAAAGATCAGTTCTCCTCCTGATACTGTGTGTCGTCCAGTTATTGGGAAAGGTGATGGGATATTATGGGATTGTCTTACTGATCGTGCCTGCTACTCTATTGAATTATTTTATTTATTACTGTGGGGGTTTCTCCTGGGTTAACTACTTGTTCCTGAGCCATACTAGGATTACCAGCGGAAATAGTCTGTGAGAGACCAGCATTCCGCTACATACTTAAACCTAACTGAGCGAAGACTTAATGTCAGTATATGTAATATAAAGTCTCAGTACATCTGTTTATTGTAATGTGTTTTCTTTCAGCTGCTGGAATGTAGGTCTAACTGATGACACTTTCTCATCTTTTGTGGATATCCTGCATCGCTGCCCCAACGTCCGGTACGGTGTGATTATTCTCCAGAGTTTGATAAATGTAACAAAGCAAATCAGAAAATATAACGTACCACAGATCTTTACTGAGTGTCAAATGATTCACATTTAAATATAGATTACCATTGAGTTAGATAATGATGGGGTACCATTGAGTCGGGTAATGATGGGGTACCATTGAGTCGGGTAATAATGGGGTACCATTGAGTCGGGTAATAATGGGGTACCATTGAGACGGGTAATAATGGACATCAATTCCTCAGGATGTACTTGGCAACTACCTACAACATAAACACACAAATCCAGATTAAATGCTTTAATAGTATCATATACAAGGTTATGTTGCTTATTATTGGGATATCGATAAAGGGATACAGTAGGCACCATAACCATTTATCTAATTGAAGTGGCTATAGCAGAGTCTCATGGTCCAATTCCTCCATTCAGTGTTAAACCATTTTCGAGCAGTATAACCATGAATGAGAATCCTTGGCTTCAGTTCCGCCCACACTGGGGTCTGATTAAGGCAGATATTACACACTTCCTTCTAGCCATAATGATTCATAACAGCAATGGACTATGTGATAGGCTGAAAGCAGTTAGCTGACTCTCTCAGCCAATCACAGCCACCCATTGCTGCTCAGGTTAATGCTTCCTCTTTAAAGCGGTAATGTCATTGCCACATCCGTTTTTTTGGGTTTTTTGAAACCCCCGTCCCGACTCTACTTCATCGCCCCTAAACCCCCATATTGCCTATTTTTAAATCTTATTTTGTGCCCGGACCTAGGTCCTGGGCACCGTCATCTTTGTGTGAGCAGATGAAGTCCCTGTGGGACACATCATGTGCCCTCATTAGATAGTGCTGTGAAATTCCCGTGCATGCACAGTTAAACTCTGGGGCATTTGCTAATGTCAAAAAGACGAATGAATGAATAGAAATGTCAGACGAACAAACACAGAATGCCGGTATTCGGTTGTTCATTGAGTTTTTTTTTACAAGGAAGGAGCTACCAGCGAGCAGCTCCCTCCTTGTAATATGTAAAACTAGAAGCAACAGGGAGCAGTGCTCCCCAACACTTCCTAAGCCCCGCATGTCATCCCTCACTCTATGGCAGGGCTGCTCAACAGGGAGCTCCCCAGATGTTGTAGAACTACAACTCCCATGATGCTTTGTCATTCTAAAGGCAGGCAAAGCATCATGGGAGTTGTAGTTCTACAACATCTGGGGATCTACCTGTTGGGCAGCCCTGATATATGGGGATCGATAGGACCCCTATATTAGCATAAGTGTGATTGAAATCTCCTGAATGCCTCTACTCGCTATGCCGCGAGTAGGGGCATGTCTACTAAACAGTGAGCAACCTGTGTGCCCCCACCCCCTCTAATAACTGGTCCTCATGGTGGGGCATCTATTAACTAGCAAGTGGGGCTATTCAACTAATTCAACTAAATGGGGGCCCTAAATGTCAATAAGTGGAAGACCTTATGCTCATGGGTGGGGCGGGCGGGGGTCCTAAAAGACAATGGGGGGATCTATTGTCCTCCCCTCCCCCCCACTCGGCCCCACCCATGAGTGGCACCAAGCCCCTAGTCACACCCGCACCAAAAAAAATATAAAATATAGCCCTACCTAACCCCTTCACCCTAAAAATAGTGGGGAACAAAAAAACTGAATACCTGTAAATTAAAAAAAAAAAAGCTTACCATTTGATGTCTTCTTTTTTCTAAAACTTTTTTTTTTTTCAGCCCCAAAAAAGGGCAAAAGGGAAAATTAAAATCCAGTAAACCAATTGAACTTATAAAATAAAAAGACCCAGCGCATAAAAAAAAAAAAACACGTAAAAAAAAAAATCCAGACGCTTAAAAAAAGAATCCATCTTCACCCAGCGAGGGCACCGCTCAGATTGAGCTCCGCAGGGCGGGGAAGGGCTTATAAAGCTTCCCCATGCCCTGCAGTTTGACTCCGTGTGCTCCAATTGGTTGGTTTAAGCCAACCATTAAGAGTGCTCTGATAAGTAAATAGATGCCCTACCACGGGGCCATTTAAGAGAGGGGAGGCGGGGGAGCTTTTTCTTTTTTAAGTATTATTTTTTTACTACAGTGAGCAGCCACAGGCTCACTGTTTACAAGACATGCCCCTACTTGTGGGAATTAGGGAGCTATCGACTTAAATGGCTGCAAGATGCAGCTGCAGCATGGATCGGAAATTCATTCATTCAAATTAAATTTCGAACCGACCTAAAAGTACCGATTGTCGTCCTAACATGAATGAACAATCTGTTCTCTTTCTGTTAGGGCAAAATTCTGTAGTTTCGCCGGCGTTCTGTTTAAATGACAGGACGTTTGGGAATACTGAAAGCAGGCATCGCGAGATCACAGAGGAAAAGGTGAGTATTGTGGGAAAATTTCTTTGACCTACAGTAAGTGGGTCAGAGTAGGTCAAGCGTAGGAAAAATACATAAGAAAAAGTAGTCCCTACTTTGTCTTATGTTTTAAAGAAAACTAAAGTAGATAGTAAGAAAAGAAGAACAGATCCTGAGAGAGGGTGAGAAGAGGAAGCGATAGGGAGTGCTGCTTTAAGTTTGGATTCAAATATTGTTGAATGGGTAAGGCAGTGGCTGAGTGACAGGCAACAGAGGGTTGTAGTTAATGGAATATATTCGAAGCTTGGACTTGTCACCAGTGGGGTACCTCATGGATCTGTACTTGGACCCATTCTCTTTAATATTTTTATTACTGATATTGCAGAAGGTCTTGATGGTAAGGTATGTCTTTTTGCTGATGATACTAAGATATGTAACAGGGTTGATGTTCCAGGAGGGATAAGCCAAATGGCAAATGATTTAGGTAAACTAGAAAAATGGTCAGAATTGTGGGAACTGACATTTAATGTGGATAAGTGCAAGATGATGCATCTTGGACGTAAAAACCCAAGGGCAGAGTACAGAATATTTGATAGAGTCCTAACCTCAACATCTGAGGAAAGGGATTTAGGGGTGATTATTTCTGATGACTTAAATGTAGGCAGACAATGTAATAGAGCAGCTGGACATGCTAGCAGAATGTTTGGTTGTATAGGGAGAGGTATTAGCAGTAGAAAGAGGGAAGTGCTCATGCCATTGTACAGAACACTGGTGAGACCTCACTTGGAGTATTGTACACAGTACTGGAGACCGTATCTTCAGAAGGATATTGATACCTTAGAGAGGGTTCAGAGAAGGGCTACTAAACTGGTTCATGGATTGCGGGATAAAACTTACCAGGAAAGGTTAAAGGATCTTAACATGTATAGCTTGGAGGAAAGACGAGACAGGGGGGATATGATAGAAACATTTAAATACATAAAGGGAATCAACACAGTAAAGGAGGAGACTATATTTAAAAGAAGAAAAACTACCACAACAAGAGGACATAGTCTTAAATTAGAGGGACAAAGGTTTAAAAATAATATCAGGAAGTATTACTTTACTGAGAGGGTAGTGGATGCATGGAATAGCCTTCCAGCTGATGTGGTAGAGGTTAACACAGTAAAGGAGTTTAAGCATGCGTGGGATAGGCATAAGGCTATCCTAACTATAAGATAAGGCCAGGGACTAATGAAAGTATTTAGAAAATTGGGCAGACTAGGTGGGCCGAATGGTTCTTATCTGCCGTCACACTCTATGTTTCTATGTTATTACTCCAAGCAGTACAGAGGGGATTGGCTTCTGCGGACACAGGCAATATAACCACTTCAATGAGATGAAGCAGTTACAGTGCCTACAGTGTCCCTGTGTTAAAGTTAGCTGTGTTATTAAGAGTTATTCTAGTCCCAGCCACTGTGTTGGGTTACGTCTCGGTTGTTTTTATAATTCAGTCTAGACTTGCAGACTACAGCAGTGTAAATCCTCACGTCATGTTTTCCTTTGAGTGTAAGCTGCTGATAATAAACAGAATGTGAAGACTTCAGTATAGGAAGCGATACGCAAGTGAAACCGGTTTTGTGGCGACTAATGAAACTGTATTTATTTAGTAAACCTTTTTGATTCATTAAAAACCTTCATTGACATGTCTTGCTCTTCACACCAGGAAAGTTATCTTGGAAGGAACTCCGCTGCCTCAACAATCCTTTCATAAACTCATTACGGACGATTTGCCGTAAGTAACTCCGTAATCAGAACTGCCCGCGGGAATGGAACCTTGTATTTGTAAGTTTGCTTTATATATTGTAGAGATTCATGGGTGGCTTCGCTGTACAGGAATAATGGAGAAATGATAAGGAAATTGCAAATATTAGCTAGAATATCAGAGCTAGAAAATAGCTGAATAGTTAGAGAATTTTTCCAATTTGATTATTTTGGCCTACAATTTGCTAATTTTTTGACATTCCTCCACAATTCCAAAAGCACCGAAACCACTTCAACTTAATGAAAACCCTCTTCTTCTATAAAACATTCAGGAATCCAGAAGGCCTCTGCATTCTGGATAATCACACAAAGTATGATGACGCTGAAGGCGTCCAATGCTTCTTGTAGATTTGCACTAATTTCATTACTTCTCCATGAGAAACATTTGATTGGCAGAGTGTGGAGATTACTAAGTAAATACCCCTCTCCCCAGTACTCCTCTGTGGAAACCACTGGATTGGACAAGTCATCTTTTCTGATGTCACAGAGGGCGGCCCTACATATCCTTGCTAATAAATAAATCTCAAACATTCCGACCACTCCACTGTACTGGTGACTTAAACCTTTCCTCAATTCACAGCCACACTGCCGCCAACTGCCTTTTTCACGGCTTCTCTAAGGCTGCACTGTATTAATGGAATTCCCTTTCCATTGCCAGTTCGGCTTATTACAACTTTTCAAACATTTAAGAAAATCTTTAAAACCCAGCTAATTATCTCTCCTCTGGAGCATGCTCTGTTATGTCTTTGTTCAGCCTTACTGTTGTTGGATATTATTTAGTAACTCTGCCATCGATACTCCTCCAACCCCTACTCAGAGCAAAATGGCCTTTCCCTTTACCTGCAGTGTATCTGCTCGCCACCTCCGTTATGTTGAGAGCTTGTTTGAGCAGGACCTCATTGCCTCTTGTAAATCAAACCAGTGTGTTTAAAGAAGCACTCCAGATCCCTAAAGCGGTTTAGCTTGCTAAAAAGCTTTATGTGCTAAGAGTGTGTCTTATTTGTTTTCATTTTGCAAATAGTGCAGATTTCAATAGACACTGACCCTTTTTATAAATGAACCTTGTTACACCCACATAACTTTCAAGCAGACAACCTGTCCTGTTACTTCCTGGTTTTGTTAGTTCAGTGAAGATCAACTCAAGAGAACAATTTCCCAGAGCAGCTGCCTTGTATAGACTTCTCATTGAGCTGTATTGGGAAGGCTGTGATTGGACAACCACAGAAAGTCTGGGCGGGGTTAGAAGGGGAGGGCTTGCAAAGGCTGCAGACACAAGATCTACAGTATTTACAAGCGGACTTTAGATACACCCCAATGGAAAAATGCATAATTAAAGGTATGCATGTTTGCATCTGGGCTATATCTACATTTTGTATTTGGGCAGTGGAGTGCCCCTTTAATTTATTTGTATATCTTGTGAACCCATTGTACAGTGCTGAAATTGTTGGTGCTTTTTAAAGGGACACTATTGTATTTGTTCTGTTGAGTAGAATCCGTCATTTTTTGCAGTAAACACTGTTCGTTTCAAAGAAAATGCAGTGTTTACATTACAGCCTAGGGATACCTCCACTGGCCACTCCTCAGATGGCTGCTGAGGTGCACCCTGTGCATGGAGACTCTAAACTTTCCTCATAGAGATGTATTGAATCAATGCTGATTCTGATTGGCCAGGACTGTGTTTGGCTCTGCCCCGATCTGCCTCCTTGACAGTCTCAGCCAATCCTATGGAAAACATTGTGGTTGGCTCAGAACAACACTTCTGCTGATGTCAGACAAGCAGGCAGGTCAGGGGCAGAGCCAACAGTTAGATTTTACTATATTTAGGAGCGCCAGGGGGCTAGATTGTGGTGTTAACACCATAGGGTTAGGAATACATGTTTGTGTTCCTGATCCTATAGTGTTCATTTAAAGGAACACTATAGTCACCTAAATTACTTTAGCTATATAAAGCAGTTTTAGTGTATAGATCATTCCCCTGCAATCTCACTGCTCAATTCACTGTCATTTAGGAGTTAAATCACTTTGTTTCTGTTTATGCAGCCCTAGCCACACCTCCCCTGGCTATGATTGACAGAGCCTGCATGAAAAAACTGGTTTCACTTTCAAACAGATGTAATTTACCTTAAATAATTGTATCTCAATCTCTAAATTGAACTTTAATCACATACAGGAGGCTCTTGCAGGGTCTAGCAAGCTATTAACATAGCAAGGGATAAGAAAATCTTAATTAAACAGAACTTGCAATAAAGAAAGCCTAAATAGGGCTCTCTTTACAGGAAGTGTTTATGGAAGGCTGTGCAAGTCACATGCAGGGAGGTGTGACTAGGGTTCATAAACAAAGGGATTTAACTCCTAAATGGCAGAGGATTGAGCAGTGAGGCTGCAGGGCCATGTTCTATACACCAAAACTGCTTCATTAAGCTAAAGTTGTTCAGGTGACTATAGTGTCCCTTTAAATAATATTTTGGGGGGCAAGAAATAAATGTACTAAACACATGTGGTTTTGATTTAATTTATTTCACTCTAATGATACAGGTTCACACATATTTCCTTACGGAACAACAAAATTGATGATGAAGGAGCCCGACTCCTGAGCCAATCTCTCCGAAGCCTCAAGATGACGAACAAGAGTTTGGCTGTACTGACCCTCGCCTTCAATCATATCTCTGATCTGGGAGCTTGTCATATTGCTGAGGTGAGGGGATTGTTAGAGATTTCCCACTGTTCTTCTTGTGATGAAATATTCCTCATATTTTCCATAGGGTCACTGTGAGTGGCTCCCCCTTGTGGCTTCTTGGGGCGATTGTTTAATTTTCTGGTTATGTTTGTCATGATTTTTATTGTAAATTGCCACCACGTTATCTTACCGTTGTTTTCAGGCCTTACGACGCCACCGTGCACTGCTTTCGTTGAACTTGGCAAGCAATCAGATAGGTGATAAAGGAGCCCTCGCACTGGCAGAGGTTTGTAGAAGTTACAGCTTTTTTATGTTTTTATATAAATAAAACGATATAAACCACTAAAATACCTTTCTATGCTTGGTTTCAGATCCTCGGACATTTCTCATTGACACACACAGAGATTGTGGAAAGAAGGAAGTTATTAATGGAAAAAGAAAGTCGCGACCATCCGAGATCGGTGAGAATAGTGCAGGTTCTTTGCTAGCACGGCACTGTGAGCTTATAATGGACTGGTTGCCTGTGATTAAAATTCTCTACAGGTCTGGACTGACACTCTGGGATGTTTATTTGGAGACCACAGTTCCTGACCAGGCTCTCAGACTGTGATGAGTATGTATGATGTGGCTGTATTTGGAAGCAACTGTGGATTGAGAGGATACACCGATGTCTCTGGATGTTCAGGCATACTGAGATCTCTGGGAAAATTCCTTTATGCTGAGCTGGTCTTACTGACAGAGGGAGTAGGGTGATTGCTAGGAGGGACTGACAGACTGGATCCCCAAGGGGTGTCCTAAAAAAACCCAGGTGTCCAGTTATACAATTTGTGAAAATGTGACTTTATTTCACCATATTTGGAGTTAATTATACAGCACAGTGTGGGTGTATTACTGTGGATGCAGGGTTAATACAGCAGATATGGTGTTAATACAGCATGATACAGGGGTTAAAACAGCAGGTACGAGGGATAATATAGCAGATATGGGGTTAATACAGATATGGGGTTTATACAGCAGGTACGAGGGATAATATAGCAGGTACGAGGGATAATATAGCAAGTACGAGGGATAATATAGCAAGTACGAGGGATAATATAGCAGGTACGAGGGATAATACAGCAGGTACGAGGTTAATACAGCAGGTACAGGGGTTAATAGAGCAGGTGTGGGGTTAATACAGCGGTTCCCAAACTGTGATGTGCACACAGGGGTGCCGCTGAATGTTTGCCCGGTGCTATGATTATAGCTGCGGTGCCGCTGTCCGTTGAGACCCCGACCGACCCCTGTAATGTTGGCCGGCAGTGAGTCAGTGCCAGGAGGGAGAGGAGGCAGCTGCAGCATGACGGGAGAGGAACATGAAGAGCACCAGACCCCTCACTCCCACAGCAGCAGGACTCCAAGCCACCCTCCTGGCACATTAAGTAAGCTAACAGGAGGGTGGCTGGAGATATAAAAAAAATCCCTTGTGGGTGTATGAGTTAGAGTGTGTGTAGGAGTATGATTGTGTGTATTAGTGTGAGTATGAGTGTATGTATATGTGCAGACATCCCAACTTGCAAAACCCAATTTCAGGGAGGTGGCTACCCCTGTCACCATGCGCACCCCCACATACTGCCACCCCCCCTTCCCCTCCATGAGGGGAGACACACACACACACTGGCACATACACAACTTAACACACAAATACACACACTCAGTAACACACACTGACACATACATCCAAACACAGGTGCCCACACTGGCACATACACACAAATACACACACTGGCATATACACACAGATACACTCTGACACCCAAATACACACTGGTACATACACACGGACACATATACACACGGACACACAGATACACACTGGCACATACAGACAATCAGACACACATAACAGCCACCTGTTCGATTACTTTTTGGGGTCCTGGCTGAGGCTGATGGGAGTGAGCATGTAGTTGCTCACTCCAGCCTCTCCATGCTGCCTGTGCTGCTGCCTGTGCTGCTGCCTCCTCCTCCCTCCTCCGTGGCTGTCTGTTTAGCTGGGAGAAAGTGACCTCCCTCCCAGCCGGCAGGAACTGCAGGGGCTCAGTCAGGCTCTTAAAGGGCCTGACACCCAACCAGGCCCCTGCTCAGAAATAACACCCATCGGGTGAGTAATCATTAGGGGGGCAGGAGGGAAAGTTATTTTGAGCATTTTAAATGTGTAGTATCCTGGAAATTAAACACACACAATCTGACATGCATTGTATGTTAGATTGTGTGTGTGATTTCCGTGATATTGCAAATGGTGTGCGGGTGTCAGGGAGCCATATTAAATATGCGGGAGTCTCCCGGACCCACCGGGAGACTTGGGATGTCTGTGTGTGTATGTGTGAGTCTCAGTGTGTGTCTGGGTGTGTGTGTATGTATATATGTGTGTGTGTGTGTGTGTGTGTGTGTGTGTGTATATATATATATATATATATATATATATATATATATATATATATATATATATATATATATATATATATATATATATATCTCTATCTATCTATCTATATATATATCTCTATCTATCTATCTATATATATCTCTCTCTCGTGTTCAAGTAGAGATTGTAGCCGTATTAGTCCAGTGATGTAGATGTAAAAAAAGATAAAATTTGTATCTTGTAATACCTTTTTTTTTATTGGACTAACATAATTTTTTTAATGACAAGCTTTCGGGAGAATCTCCCTTTCTCAAGTTTGAAGCATTTTTGCTCAGATACGATTTTTATCTGTTTTTTATATATAAATATGTGTGTGTTTGTGTGTGTGTGTGTTTATGTATGTGTGTGTGTGTGTGTGTATGTATGTATATATATATATATATAATCAGTGTGCTTCTGTGTCTGTGCTCACACATGTGTGTCAGGGTGTGTGTTTTTATGTCAGTGTGTGTATCTGTGTCATGGTGTGGGCATGTTTCAATGTTTGTGTCTGTCAGGGTGCATGTCTGTATGTGTCGTGTCTGTATGTGTCGGTGTATTTATATGCATCTGTGTGTTAATGTGCAGGAATATCTGTGTAAGTATGTATGTATTTAGTAGTGTATGTGCATACATCCAAGCAGCCAAACACCAGCACAACATACAAACACACTCCTGCAATCTAACACAAATATTACAAACACACCCCTGCATTCAAATGAAAAAAAATACAAACACACCCCTTCACTCAAACACAAATACTTCACACAAATGTACATCCACATTTAAAAGTGAACATTCAGACACACCCCTGCAATCAAACGCAAACATTACATACAAACACTCCCCTGTATTAAAACAATAACTGTATACAAGCACCACTTCAAACACCAACACTGTACATTACACTATAGCGGCAGCAAATGCTGCAGCGCTGTACAGTTATACAACCTAAATAGTTTGACTTGGGGTGCTTTGAAAAAATACTGAAATATTAAGGGCGCCTTGAACCTAAATAGTTTGGGAACCACTGGGTTAATAGACTGTAAGCTCGTTTGAGCAGGGTCCTCATCTACCTATTGTTCCTGGTACATTTTATTATTGTCTAGTTTATTAAATTCCCCTTTTAATGTAAAGCTCTGTGGAATAAGCTGGTGCTATATAAATACCAATAATAACAATAATACGGCAGTTGTGCAGTTTACAAATGTACTGTAATACTTTAAATTCATTAAATGATTTGGTGTTACAATGAGCTTTGTAGAAGATGTTGGAAGTGGTTAATGCAGGGGGGAAAGTGTGAGGGGTGGTATATTTGCCAAATCGCAATGCCCTGTTGTAGTGCATATAATCTTCGACCTCACAGTTCCCGCAGTCTCCATCTGCCAGACCTATGTATGATCTGCGACATGTCAGCAGGACCATGGGGTTCATGTACAAAAAAACAAATGTGTATACGTTCCTGTGTCAAACGTTGCCGGCTCTGCGCTATCTGGAGGCCAAATGTAAAGGAGAACATTTCTAAACTAAAATGTGTCTTCTCTAAACAGCCGGCCACATCACGACATGGGGACGCGAAGAGTGATCGGCCACCAAGCCACCAGAGCACTGTGGCTCTCGACAAATCCCAAGTGCTAAAATCAAACAAAGGCTCAGTGAAGAAGAATCCCAAGGTAAGACGGAGACCACGTTATAACACAAACACAGGAATTCTTACATTATAGATACAGTCATGGGATAACTTTGAGTAGTGCATTGTAGCAGTATTACCATCTAAACACTAGGAGGCTGTTGTTTGTTCTGCTTGCAATTTATGCTTTGTTTAACCTGGGGCAGCTCACACTTATACACAATCATTGTTCACATGGAGACATTCTTCGGGTTCAGTTAATAAGTAACTGACATTGTTGTAGGATGCCCAGAAGAAAGAGGACAAATCGGTGGCCAACACTCATGGAGGTGGAACGTCCAGTATAATGAACCAAGCTGCCCTGGCCAAGAAAGACGACAGTAAATCATCGAAGAAACGTAAGTGTCCAGAAGAATGTCAACAACAAAATTTCATCCAGACTTTGGATTTTAAAATGTCAGTATTGTGGTCTGGGCTGTATTTATGACAAAGCTTGGGGCCTAAAGTGGCAGGTTGGAGGGGCAGCAACAGGGGCTGTGTTCCACAATTAAGCAAGAAATCTCATGTGTGCTGCCTTTCATAAATTCTTATATAACAATCAGCAGCCGCAGTATGTTTGGGATTGTGTCTGAAAGGCCGGCTGTAGGGGAAATACTGTGTATGTTTGGCTATACGTGTGTGTATATGAATGTGTGTTTATGTACTGGATGTGTGTGTGTGTTTATGTACTGGATGTGTGTGTTTGTTTATTTACTGGATGTGTGTGTGTGTGTGTGTTTATGTACTGGATCTGTGTGTTTGGTTATGTACTGGATGTGTGTGTGTGTTTATGTACTGGATGTGTGTGTTTGTTTATGTACTGGATGTGTGTGTGTTTATGTACTGGATGTGTGTGTGTGTGTTTATGTACTGGATCTGTGTGTTTGGTTATGTACTGGATATGTGTGTGTTTGTTTATGTACTGGATGTGTGTGTGTGTGTTTATGTACTGGATCTGTGTGTTTGGTTATGTACTGGATATGTGTGTGTGTGTTTATGTACTGGATGTGTGTGTTTGTTTATGTACTGGATGTGTGTGTGTGTGTGTGTTTATGTACTGGATCTGTGTGTTTGGTTATGTACTGGATGTGTGTGTGTGTTTATGTACTGGATGTGTGTGTTTGTTTATGTACTGGATGTGTGTGTGTTTATGTACTGGATGTGTGTGTGTTTATGTACTGGATCTGTGTGTTTGGTTATGTACTGGATGTGTGTGTGTGTTTATGTACTGGATGTGTGTGTTTGTTTATGTACTGGATGTGTGTGTGTGTGTTTATGTACTGGATGTGTGTGTGTTTGTTTATGTACTGGATGTGTGTGTGTGTGTTTATGTACTGGATCTGTGTGTTTGGTTATGTACTGTATATGTGTGTGTGTTTATGTACTGGATGTGTGTGTTTGTTTATGTACTGGATGTGTGTGTGTTTGTTTATGTACTGGATGTGTGTGTTTGTTTATGTACTGGATGTGTGTGTTTGTTTATGTACTGGATGTGTGTGTGTTTGTTTATGTAGTGGACGTGTGTGTGTTTGTTTATGTACTGGATGTGTGTGTGTGTTTATGTGAGCATGTCAGTGACTGATGTTGTATGTGTGGTAAAATGGGGGTACTTTGATATAATGGTCTAAGGACATCGTAACAACCTTCTGCCTTTACTGATTGGAGAGGGTTTTGCATTTCTAAAAAATTTGGAGAATTCCAGGTTTCATGAGATTGCCATAAGAAAATGATTATATTTAATAATCGATAAATGAGAAATTCTGTGCTCAGATCCATTGCTCTCATACATCTTTTTTCTTGGTTTCTATTTTGACAGAATTGGCTAATCCTGACCCAAAAAATGTAAAAGGAAAACCAGTTAAATCTGCCACAAAGCGTGGTCTGATAACAGAGCAGGAGGTAAGTTAGAAGGGGTGACAGGGGACCTCCGTATGGTGCTGTCTTTTTAAAACACACTTGAGCTACGCTGCCTCACTGGAGCACTCGGTTAAAGAGTGGCTCTAAGAATTATCACGTGATTGCAAAGATTATAGTGCAGGGTACACTGCTCTGAGACTGGCTTCTAACTGGAGCAATTTGTAAAAATCACACAATCACAAGACAGCCCATCAGAGCTAATATTCACACTCCTACCAAAGCACTGAAATGCCTTTGTGATTCATATTTTAGAATAATGACAGATTCACTGAAATCCTTCCATCGGCACTGATTCTATAATTTATCATAGAGACTAATGGTATATTAAATGGAAGTGTTTTAAATAATATCGCCACGTTTTGGTTTCGTACCACAGCTCTGTGGGTGTTACACTATTGTCCTTCTGTGCGTACTGTCAGGACTAGTCTGGTGGGGATCTTTCTCCTAGCAGGTCAGTCCTCCTCCATGATACCAACACACAGACTTTGTTGTCACCGTATCGGCTTCAGAACAGAAATGGAGTGTCACCACTTGTTTTACCAGCCCTGCTATTCGATAGTATTTGGGATGCTTGTTTTTCTCCCACTCTATACACTTGCCAACAATCCTGATATCACAAAGTATAGACAGATTAAACATGTGCTCCTGGTGGAGAGGTATCAGCTCCCACAGACTGAATTATTTTGGGCAGTCCGACTCCTTCACTTGGTACCATCCTTTCTACGAGCATATCCTTAAGGAGAGTACACGTTTTATGAATTTAACTGCAAACTGGCCCATAAAAAATGGGAGTGCTGTCTCTGCTGTTTGCCAACCCTCATTTAGTGACCTACCCTGCTCAACTACATTATCTCTCGAAATGGAATTATGATTTAGGGGTGGAGTTGGAGAAGAGTGAGTGGAACAAAATATTTATTAATACAATGCATATTACCCAATCAACCCACGTCAAAGAAAACTGCTATGAAGGCGTGATGGTGAAACCTCCCCATAATGCCAGACCTAACACTGGTGAGACCTCACTTGGAGTATTGTACACAGTACTGGAGACCGTATTTTCAGAAGGATATTGATACCTTAGAGAGGGTTCAGAGAAGGGCTACTAAACTGGTTCATGGATTGCGGGATAAAACTTACCAGGAAAGGTTAAAGGATCTTAACATGTATAGCTTGGAGGAAAGACGAGACAGGGGGGATATGATAGAAACATTTAAATATATAAAGGGAATCAACACAGTAAAGGAGGAGACTATATTTAAAAGAAGAAAAACTACCACAACAAGAGGACATAGTCTTAAATTAGAGGGACAAAGGTTTAAAAATAATATCAGGAAGTATTACTTTACTGAGAGGGTAGTGGATGCATGGAATAGCCTTCCAGCTGAAGTGGTAGAGGTTAACACAGTAAAGGAGTTTAAGCATGCGTGGGATAGGCATAAGGCTATCCTAACTATAAGATAAGACTAGGGACTAATGAAAGTTTTTAGAAAATTGGGCAGACTAGATGGGCCGAATGGTTCTTATCTGCTGTCACATTCTATGTTTCTATGATGGTACCTACACCCCTCCTCATTCAGACATGGTTTCAACCTGTTTAGGGGGTATGGGGAGGAGGGTACGCACCTGCACTAATGGTGGTCATGTCCCAAGGTTCAGCCCTTCAGCTGTCATGCTGCCTTCAGGTAGCCCTCCCCTAGAGCTGTGGGTGGCTGTTCACAACAGGGAATACAGGGGAATATTTAAGGTTGAAATAACTCCAACTTTTCCAATTCCACTATTTTGGCCGAAACAATTGGATTCCATAATCAGTGCGTCACAGTTTGCCATTTAACCCCTATTAGCTGCTGTCTGTTTGGACAGAACAATAAGTAAATCAAACGATCTGTTTAAAGTGGTCTCTGTACATGACAAAGAAATGTTACTTTAAAAACTGATTTAATTTCTTTATTTCAGAAGACTGAACACAGTGAAATGACAATGAATCCTTTGCTGGAACAAGCCGTATCCCGAGACGGAAAAATATTTCTGTCTGGTAACAAAGTCCTCATGGATTTAAACCTTACAGGTACGCAACCAAGCGTGGAATTTGGGTATCACTGTTTTCAGGAATTATAGGAAGGTGTAAGTGAAAGAACCTAAACCTATAATTGGAGCGCTAAAACAAATTATAACTTAACACACGTTACTTGGTTAAATGTTTGGTGTGGAGTACATGTAATAGGACAACAAACAAAGGGTACAAAATAGTGCAGATGGTACCTAAAATTGGAATCCAGTATATAATGTGACAGTCAGGACACTCACATTTAACAGAGCCTGTGTGTGAATACTGGCTCTGCAATCAAGCTGATGTGCTTTTATGGCAGCACCCCCCTTCCGCTTCGTTGTGGGGTGATTCTCATGAATAAAACATAAGAGAAACAAACCAATGTGTAGCCTGTTAAACTGGAAGGTGGAAAAGTAAGCGATAAATGGGGTGCTCACCTTGTTCTGAGCCTAGTGGTCCCGGCTCTGAGGTGTGCTGGTACTGTGCCAAATTTGGTGGGGATGGGATCACTGTTTTCAAGTTTGATTATTTTGGAATAAGGTTTGAAATGCACTTTTCGTTCCCAAACATTCACATGTTGTTGTATAACCTGCTGAGACATGGGATGTTTTCAAATATTCTTAAAACATTAAGCACCCTTAAATTCCATTAGTTTGTTACTGTGTTTTGTCACTTTTTTCCAGTAGTTTTCAGCTATTTCCTGTGACTTTCTTCATTAGTGGCGCGGAGGGTGAGAGACCGAAGTCTGATCTGTATGATGAGTTCCATAGCACATTGACAGGAGTTTATATCAAACGTTTATAAAAATTATAAAACTTTTAAACCGTAAATTCATCATATTGATTGTGTTTGTCTTATTTTTTTTAGTTTGTGATTTTACGTTTCTAAGTACAATAAACCGGTTGGAGAGATCAAGCTGTGAAGCAGTAATTCTTCTTTTTTCCTTCGTTTTATCAATGTATTTCCAAACCGTTTTGATGTATAATAAGAGGTTTAGGCTAATATTTTACTGATGTCCTATGTGCAGGAAACAGAATCACAGAACAAGGCTTGAGAGGGTTCTTGACAGCAATGGAGACTCAAGTCCAGGAATCTACGCTTATCCCAGGAACCAAGACACACACTGGGCTACTCCGACTTTCCTTAACGGTGAGCAAGTCCAGCTATTAGCATTTACTAGAGGCATCAATACAACTTTATAATAGATTTAAGTGCGGTGTAAGTAACAAAGACCTACACCTATAAGTGGAGCTCTCAAACACATATATAGCTTACCAAATGTTATTTCGTACCATGGTACAGTAAAAAGTACATGTGAAAAAAATACAGAAAAATACAATATAGTGCAGATGGTATTTAAAGTGGCAATGCAATAATAATGATGGAATCTTAATGACTTAGACACTCACATTTCAAGGAGCCTGTATATGGAAACACTGGCTCCGTATCAAGGCTTGTGTGCTTATAATGGTAGCACCACCCTCCTACTTCGATTAGGAATGATTCTCAAAGATAAAAACAGAGGGAGAGCGAACCAATGTGTAGATTGCGGTCATAAAAGCACACATATATATTAATAAATGTGGTGCTCAACTAGTCCTGAGCCTGTGGGTCCTGGCTCTAGGTATATAAACTCTGTGCCAATTTGAATGGGGATGGCACTGCCCCTATGAAGATTCTCTTGGAGGCTCCAAAAAAAGGACTTGAGTAAGATATAAAATAAAATAACAAATTTATTAATAAGAACAAATAGTGTAAAAAAAGTCCTCAATAAAAGTCCTTTAAAAATGGTCAACACGCGTTTCACTTTCAAATAGAGCTTCTTCAGTCAGCTGTAATGTAGGTCCTCTGAATCTTCCATTTTTAAATGTCTCTTGGGTCTTCCCCTTTAATGAGCTAAATGCATTTAGTCCAATCACAATGTAGTTTACATATATCAAGTGTAAAGAAATGTGTGTGTGTGTCTTTAATTGGTAGAGGTTGTGGGCGTCTTTATTTGCTCTTGTTTTCATTGGTGGGCAGTAGTGGTTGGCGGAAGTGTTCCGCGGGCCTCCTGGTGGTTGGCGGAATTGACGTCACATATCCACGTGATCGTCACTCCGCGGTTGGCGGACATGACGTCCGGGCGGTTGGCGGAAGTGACGTCACGGACCAACGTGATCGTCACTTAGCCGCCGCCCGGAATACCCCTAGCTCCCCGGCCATGCCGCACCTCTCCCATGCGTGCAGGTCGGGGGGCGGGGATTATAGTGTGGGAGGGGGTAGTCCGTGGCCATGTACCGCCCTTAGGGCGTGTCGGCATGGCCGTTAGCTCCTCCCCCTCCAGCTTGATAGGCAAATAATAAAACAGAAAGTGACATAGATAATAAAATAGGATAAAACATTCATAAGCATAATTAAGTGCCAGTGAGCTTTTATGTTCTGAATTTAATTAATGATTATTAGGTTATAAAAGTGCTTATAAAGTGATATGTGTATTTAAAGAGGTAGTAGTAAATAGAATCATATTGAGATATATTGTGTTTACTAAAAGTATGAGTATGCATACTTTAAGTGGTATTCACAGTAAATATGGAATTAAACCAAAATTAATGTGCCAGTGGGTAGGGGTAATTTGTATATACATTTGCTAATAATACATCATATATATACACTATATCTGCGATAGTATACACATATATATAAAAATGATGGAACATAATAAAATATATGCGTTTAAATGAAATGACAGAGTTCGAAGTCTACATTCAAACCCTGCGGTTTTAAAGTCCCAAGGTTGAATATCCACCTCATCTCACTCCGTCCCAATAGCTTGGCGAAATCCCCTCCTCGCCAATTACCCTTAACCTTTTGTATACCCATAAACCTGAGTTGTGTGGGGTCGCTATTGTGCGCTAAGGCAAAATGATGTGATACACTATGTCCCTCAAATTTTTTCTTGATGTTTCTGATGTGTTCTTCAATCCTAGTGTGTAAATTTCGTTTAGTGCGGCCCACATATTTTAAACCACATGGGCACTCCAATAAGTATACTACATTGTTTGAATGACAAGTTATGAGGTCTTTAATAGGGAATTCTTCATTATTATTAGAATTCATAATTTTTTTAAAATGTCTTTTTTTTGTTATTTGAGTTCCTGCACGCTAAGCATGTGCCGCATCCATAGAAGCCCTTCCCTTTCTCCAAAAAAGTGGTGTTATTTGTTTTCTTAATATGGTTCTTTACCAAGAGTCTGTTCAAATTGGCGGCACCCCTAAACACTATTTTGGGTTTTGCTGGTAAGATTTGAGCTAAGGCATGGTCTTGTAGTAGGATGGGCCAATGTTTATTTAAAATTTTCTTTAGTGCTTTATTGTTGTGACTGTAGTTACATATAATGGGTAGATTGACCTCCCCTTCATTTCGTGTTTTATTTTTTTCTTGTAATAAAGTGCTTTGTGGGATCTTTAAAACTTGTGTGTAAGTGTCTTGTAATTTTTCTTTTTTATAGCCCTTTTATAGTCCAACAGATCGGTAATTAATTTCTCAGCTTGTTCCTTAAAATTCTCCTCATCTGTACAGTTTCTTTTAATTTGTATAAGTTGTGATTTAGGTACACTATTTAACCATGGGGAGAAATGACAACTGGAAGTATGGATAAAACTATTAACGTCCACATCCTTAAAATGGGTTTTGGTTTTTATCGTCTCATGATCTATAAAAAATATCCAAATCTAAGAATGTGACCGTTTGTTTACTAAAATTGGTTGTTAAAATAATGCCCCATTCATTATTATTTAATTGATTTAAAAAGGTGTATAATGTATCCTTTGTGCCTTTCCAAATAAAAAACAGGTCATCTATGTAGCAGCGGTAGGTCACCAGGCCCTCCACCCAGCTCCCATTGAGTTGAAGATACTGGCGTTCCCAGTCTGCCATAAATAGATTGGCGTAGCTGGGTGCGAACCTGGTGCCCATCGCCGTCCCACACGCCTGCAAGTAGAAGGTGTCCTCATACCACTGGCGTACATACCAGGGTCGCAGGGGTCGCGACTGCGACCGGGCCCGGCCCACCAGGGGGCCCGGCCGCCCCTGCGACCCGGTATGTACGCCCAGGGCCAGCCTCTTCCCCTGGGGGGCCAGGAGCCGACCACCCCAGGGCCCCCCCGAGGCTGGCCCTGCTGACCCCGGGTGGCCGGTCGGGCAGGCAGGCGGGCGCGCGAGGGAGCACTCAGTGCTTCTTCTTCAGCTCCCTCGCGCACCGCAATGATACCGGAGCCGGAAGATGACGTCATCTTCCGGCTCCGGCATCCCTACGCGGCGCTCGAGGGAGCTGAAGAAGAAGAAGCACTGAGTGCTCCCTCGCGCGCCCGCCTGCCTGCCCGACCGGCCACCCGCCCAGGAGCCCCACTGGACCCCAGGGAATAATCCCCCCCAGCACTCCAAAAGGTAAGGAGGCTGGGGGGATTATATAAAAAAAAAAAATCATGTGTGAGTGTTAGTGTGTGTGTGTGAGTGTTAGAGTGAGTGTTAGAGTGAGTGTGAGTGTTAGTGTGAGTGTTAGAGTGAGTGTTAGAGTGAGTGTTAGTGTGTGTGTTAGTGTGTGTGAGTGTTAGAGTGAGTGTTAGTGTGTGTCTGCTAGTGAGTGTTAGTGTGTTAGTGTGTGTGTCTGCTAGTGAGTGTCAGTGAGTGTGTTACTGTGTGTGTCTTACTGAGTGTGTGTGTGTTAGTGAGTCTGTTTGATGTCTGTTAGTGAGTGTGTGTTTGTCAATGAGAGTGTATGTTTTGTAAGTGAGTGTGTATGTATGTCTGTCGCTGACTGTATCTCTGTCAGTAAATGTGTGTGTCTGTTAGCTAGTGTGTATGCGACTGTAAGTGTGTGTGTGTGTGTGTGTCTTCAGCACTTACCTTTCTCCAGCGCCGGACTCCCTTGGCGCTGAGGATCCCTCAGCCTCTCAGCTCCGAATGCGACCGCGCACGCATTCAAACCGCCCATAGGAAAGCATTACTCAATGCTTTCCTATGGACGTTCAGTGTGCTCCTCTAGCGGCTGTCCGTGAGACAGCCACTAGAGGCTGGATTAACCCTCAGTGAAACATAGCAGTTTCTCTGAAACTGCTATGTTTTCAGCTGCAGGGTTAAAACTAGAGGGACCTGACACCCAGACAACTTAATTGACCTGATGTGATCTGGGTGTCTGTAGTGGTCCTTTAAGGGACCACTATAGTGCCAGGAAAACATACTCGTTTTCCTGGCACTATAGTGCCCTGAGGGTGCCCCCACCCTCAGGGACCCCCTCCCGCCCGGCTCTGGAAAGGGGTAAAACTTACCTTTTTCCACCGCTGGGCGGAGAGCTCTCCTCCTCCGATCCTCCTCTTCTCCTCCCCGTCGGCTGTATGCGCACGCGCGGCAAGAGCTGTTCACGCATTCAGCCGGTCACATAGGAAAGCATTCATAATGCTTTCCTATGGACGCTGGCGTGCTCTCACTGTGAAAATCACAGTGAGAAGCACGCAAGCGCCTCTAGCGGCTGTCAATGGGACAGCCACTAGAGGAAATAGGGGAAGGCTTAACCCATTCATAAACACAGCAGTTTCTCTGAAACTGCTATGTTTATGAAAAAATGGGTTAACCCTAGCTCGACCTGGCACCCAGACCACTTCATTAAGCTGAAGTGGTCTGGGTGCCTAGAGTGGTCCTTTAAGTGTGTGTGCATCTGCATGCACTGGCGTACATACCGCGGTCGCAGGGGTCGCAGCCCTGTAACCCCTGCGACCAGGTGCCCACCGCCATGTGTTCCGGCCCGCGCGGGGGGGGCCACGGATCAATTTTCACACCGGGGCCCCATGGGTCATGTGTACGCCACTGCCTCATACCAAAAGTAATTGCTGGTTAGGATTAATTGTATAGCTTCCATAATAAAATTGATTTGATCCAATTCAAATTAATGAGATTGCTCTAAAAAGAATCTCACTGCTGCACAGCCCTTTTGATGTGAAATAATGGTGTATAGAGAACTGACATCCGCAGTTACCAAATAATAATCATGTTCCCATTTGATGGTTTGTAGGTGTCTCAGAATACTTCCTGTGTCCTTAAGGAAACTAGGGATGCCTTGTACTATAGGTTGAAGGCACTTGTCCACATATTCTGAGAGTCTACATGATATAGAGTTGATGCCTGAGACTATAGGTCTTCCAGGTGGAAGTACAGGATTTTTGTGTATTTTGGGGAGGTAATAGAACACAGGAATCTTTGGGTGTGTTACATTAAGGTATTCAAATTCTTTTTTGTTTAAAATCTCCTTGTAAAAGCCCCTATTGATGAGATCATAGAATCTGGTTTTTAATTTCGCTTGTTGGATCACTTTTTAATCTTGTATAAGTGGTTTGGTCTTTTAATAATCTCATACACTCTGTGTGGTAATCTTTAATGTCTAAGATGACTATTCCCCCTCCCTTATCCGCCGGTTTAATCACAATGTTATTGTCCTTCTGTAATTTTTTAAAAACTTTGTATTCGTCTTTGTGAAGGTTTTGTTGGTAGTGGTTAGCTTTCTTTAGTTTGTTAATGTCTGCCATCACCATTTTCTCATAAGTAGCAATTTCCCCTGAAATTAAGTGTTTGAAACAACTTTACCTTAATGAAGCAGTTTAGGTGTATAGATCATGCCCCCGCAGTCTCACTGACCAGTTCACTTTTATTTCGGTCTATGCAGCTGTGGCAAATCTCGCCACTTCAGTAAATCTGTGTCCATGTGTTACTTTTATACTCTAAAAGACTGAGGGCATTTGTATGCTAGTTTCACGAACAATAGTGGAATATACTGTTCGTGAAACGAATAAACCACCGAACCACACAGGGGAGTCGTGTGTCTCCAATTAACGAACTGGCAACATTCTAACCGCAGAACACTAATGATATTATGGGTGGCCGCCGTTCGTATAACCGAACACGTGGCGGCGGCCATCTTTGCTTATGAACGCCCAGCGATGTTTGGTCGTCGAGTGCCTGGAACTAGAATCGGCTACTCAACCTCACGAATACCGCTGGACTTCCATGCCGTTCGTCTGATTTCCTCCATTCATGCAAATAGATCAGCGTTCGACGGATTGAACGCCACTGACCCTCATATTCAAACAGCCAGGCTAACTGGGTACGGTCAATAGGTATTCATATGAAACCCTTCATTGGAATGGCTTTCCTATTCTAACGAATGGGTCTGAGCGGTATTTCGCCAGATGGTGCGCTCTCAGATCCCAGCCATTCAATGAGGGGTCTTTCGGGCAATTCAGTTGAAAATTATACAAGTTATGTATTTTTATGTTAAATGTTATATTTTTTCTGTACAGAGAGATAATGTAATTAAAGGTGTACGCAATTATCTCTCCAGTACAGAAAGGCATGATGGGAAATAGCATTGCAGGTTAAGTTTTCCACAGAGTCCACCAGGGGAAAACCCCCTGGAATGCCATTATGGAAACCCCTTGCATGGGGACTTGTATATAAACGGTTGCATTGCAATAAAAGCTCAGTTGACTCCCAAACTGTGTGTCGTCCAGTTCTTGGGGAAAAAGGGATTGTATTTAGGCTACCTGCATTTTGTATGCTGAATCTGACTACCAGCGGAGATACTGTGGATTATACTACTACTCCGCTACAACAGCCCTAGTCACATCTCCCCTGGCTGTGACTGACATAGCCTGCGTGCAATGAAATCTTACTTGCTTTACTCTTCTGTAAATTTAAAACTTAATCACACACCGCATGCCCCTGCGGGTCTAGAAGGCTGTTAACCTGGAGATATGAAATTCTAAATTAAACACACTGTACAATAAATCAAGTTTAAACATTCGATCTCTCTTTACAGGAAGTGTTTAGGAAAGCTGTGGGAGTCACATGCTGGGAGGTGTGACTAAGGCTGTATAAGAAAAAGTGATTCAACTCCTAAACTAAAACTGCTTCATTGAGCGAACATTATTTTGTTGACTATAGTGTCCCTTTAAATACTATAGTCTAGTACAGGGATAAGCAACCTTAGGCACCCCAAATTTTGTGGACTATATCTCCCTTAAAGCTTTGCCAGCATAGTGGCTGTCAGAGCGTTATAGTAGATGTAGTCAAAAACATCTGGAGTGCCAAAGGTTGCTTATCCCTGATCTAGTAGATACATAAAGTAGCCTTCCAATGTAAGTAGTAAAGGCTATCTGTATTAAAGAAAGGGTAGTAGATACCTGGAATAGCCTCCCAGTGGGAATGGTAAAGGCCAACAGTGATATAGAAAGGGTAGTAGATAGCTGGAATAGCCTTCCAGTGGGATCAGTAACAGTGATATAAAAAGGGTAGTAGATACCTGGAATAGCCTTCCAGTGGGAGCAGTAACAGTGATATAAAAAGGGTAGTAGATACCTGGAATAGCCTTCCAGTGGGAGCAGTAATAGTGATATAGAAAGGGTAGTAGATACCAGGAATAGCCTTCCAGTGGGAGCAGTAATAGTGATATAGAAAGGGTAGTAGATACCTGGAATAGCCTTCCAGTGGGAGCAGTAACAGTGATATAGAAAGGGTAGTAGATACTTGGAATAGCCTTCCAGTGGGATCAGTAACAGTGATATAGAAAGGGTAGTAGATACCTGGAATAGCCTGGAAGGCAGAAAAGCAGAAATTAAACCATTGTCCAAACCATTCATTTTGGCCTAAAGTATTTTAAATCCTTTCTCATTTACCTCTTTTTTGTAAATTAATATCAGTGATTTTAAATTGCACACAGTACATGAAGAAGTTCATTCTTATTTGATGCCGCAGTCTGTGTCTCGTTTGCTCTGTAAAAGGAAATATACTTGTAATCGCTGGTTAAATAATCCATTATCGGGTTTTACCCTGGTGACTGTATATATACTGATTGTGGTATCTAGATTCAGACTGATTTCTAAACTGTGTGCTGGAACTCAGGGAGTCCGCACACCCAAACATACCCACAGGGGTCACATATTCATAAAACCAGTATATTATTAAAGTGATCTTAATTCTCCTGAATTCTGAGTCTTATAGAAGGAGTGTGAGCTGCAGGTACTGAGTAGTCATTATTCGTGTGTCCCCGCTGCTTCTGTCACTATAGACTGATGTGTTTATGTGAATGTCTCTGGTTTATCATGGTCCCTGGTGTCTGAGCCGCACATTTTATCATCTTTATGTTTATTCCATGTGTAAGTTTTGCAATTTGCATTTACATGTTTTCTCCTTAGAACCATAGAATCCAGATTTAATATGCCATTTTTATATTTTATTTTACCAGGGTAACAACTTCTCACCGGCCAGCGCTACGTATCTAAGGCTTCAGGAATTAATGTGTAACAGGGACCCAATAAACAAACGTACCGGTTCTCCAGAGGATTCTCCTAAGGACCGCTAGAGACCTGCATGCTGAAATGTCTCCTAATGGCAGAAAAATGAATGACACTTTATTATATATTTTCATTTTAATGTGGCACTTTTACCCCCGTATCAAAAAAAGAGTATTTCATAAAGGTAAAATAGTTATAAAATAAACTGTTTGTAAGTCCCCTAAATTCTCTGGACATCTGTTCCTTGCAAACTCTTGTCTCATCTCCCCAATATAGCCTATAGTTTGTAAGCTCACAAAACACATTGCTAACACTTTTTATAAAAGCGCTGTAAATGTTAGATTGTAAGCTCACAAGTCGAATCCTTGGTCGTTTTGTAGTTGTATATTGTACTGTATTGATAACATTAGTTCCACAAGACTGTATACAACAGCAGAACACGTTTAAACCTCCAGAATGTGTTGTCTTTTCTCAGTAAGGTGCTCACAACTTATTCAAGACATCCGGATGTTCAGTGATATACAACCAAGTCAGAATCTATTTACAGCTAGTTATATTCTGGTTTTGATCACTGTATACAGTTAAAATGTTAATCCACAATGCCAACAATACAATCCCTCCAAGATTCCAGTATAGCAGTATGACGTTTACACACATTGCTGATTTTCTATATATATAATCTCTCTAAAACCCTCTCAAACCATAAGCTATTTGTGCTTTTTCCCCCCTGATGATCTGTTGCCCTGTGAACAATTACTACATTTCCTTGATGCTCGTATTTCTTTATTATTGACCATTACTGGTTATTTGTAGTAGACTTTTGAGCCTCGGGCACTGTTTTCATTTTTCACTAACTCTTTTGCTTTGGAATAAACTGCTTTAATTTCATTACCTTTAAATATTTTCCCTAATAAATTCTTTTTTATTATCTACATTTAATATGTATTCGTTCAAAAAGCTTTGTATTCGTATACAATTAAACATTTCTTGTATTTGGTAAAGCAAATGGGCCCAGTCCAGGGTATCAATCACTCTACGTGTAATATTGCATGATTGTCTATCTAAAAGAAAACCTATTTGATCCCCATGGATAAATGATGGAAGCACTGCTTTGAGTCTTCCTGCCAAAATAGATGTGTATAATTTTACATCCACGTTTGTCAGAGAGATCGGGTGGTAATTGGCTAAAACAAGATGGCCGCCGCCTCGTGTTCGACTATACAAATGGTGGCCACCCAGCGGTCGCAGCTTCTGGGAGGTCAATTTCCTGCACACTCCCCCTGTAAGTGGTCTGGCTGTTCGTGAGTTTGTTCAGTAAATTCCATTTACCGAACAATATAGTAGAAAGGCACGAACCAGCCTTTCTACAAGGCAGAAACAAAAGTGTAACACCAGGACCATTGTCCTGAGGCAACAGGCGAGCAACCAGGCCTCTCCAGGACCAGGACCCAGTGGTGTGGTCACTTTTGCCACAGATTTCAATTGGACTTTTTAAATTGTTGGTATTAAGGAATTATTTTAATAGTTTTCAGTTAAAACCTCTGGGATTTCACTTGCAGAGTTTCTATATTTTCATAATATGATTTGGATTGATTTCCTATCTCTTCTGGTTTGAAGTAAATATGGTCTCCTTTAACTATTTTATGAATTTTATTATCCACTTTTTGTTTTTTCAATTTATTCAGCTGCATACGATCTACTTTATTATTTCGATAGTAAAACGTAGTTTTCAATTTCTGTAGATTATAGTCTATTCTTGCCCAGATCTTTTGATATATTCTGTCTCTGCATTCTTTTAACAAATTGATACTTTCTATAGAAATTAGTTTTTATTTTCTGTTGATAGATTAAAGTATTTAACATAAAGGTCAGACAGGCTAGTTCCCCTCTTACGTCTTTCCTGACTAGCCAGTTTTATCCAGTATCCTCTGGTTACTACTTTATCCGTATTCCAGAGGCATTCCTCCGAGATTTCCTCTGAAACATTTTCTTTAAAAAATAATTCTGACATCGTCTCAATTTACTCCGTATTATCTGGTGCACATCTATATATTTCTTTTAATTCCACTACCATAACATCATGGTCAGACCATGCGTTATCTCTGATAATGTTTTTAATGAAATCTACCAGACCATTATTTCCCATTACCATATCAATTCTAGCCGTTGACCCGTGAGGGATAGATCTATGGGTAAAATTATTTTCTTCTGAGTCACCAGCAGTTATAAAGATCATGTTTCTTAATCACTCTGTTCAACGTTGCTCCACCAGTTTCAGGACTTTTACTAATAATCTGGTGTGTGCCTTATTTAGTAGATCGACATTGACCAACGTATAGTCAACTCCATTTATCTGCCCTATTAAAATGATGAATCTCCCTTCCTGATCTAATTTTTTTTATATTGGCAATGAAATTGCACTTCTCTGGAAAAAAAATATTGCTACTCTGCAACTATAGACATTTTTTTTACATTTCCATAACTGTTTGTTCTCTTTAATCCAATTCGTCTCCATTACGAATCCCACTTGTGCTTTTTCTCTCAGTAAGGTACTGTACAGGAGTATTTCCACTTTTAGTAAACCTTAATTAAATTTAAATAAAACCTGCATATTTAACCACTTTCTTGGTAGAAAATAATTTAGACTTAAATATATAATCCCAGGAGTGGTGAATGCAAGTAAGAGTTTAGATAGAGAAATTGAGTGGAAATATAGAATAGTTCTGTAAGATTTCTAAGTCGGAATTGATTTGGCTAACCAAGAAATTCAGTTGGAAAGACCGTGTTAGAGTGGTATTCCTTTATCTGGTCTGATGATAATGCTTTGATGATCTCCTGAATCTTGCATCCTACCTTCTGGATCCGACCTTTAGAGATTGTTTCTGTTACGATTGCCCCCGGTCTAGCAGGGGGGTTGATCGCTTGGAGGTCCTGGTTCCCACAGTAGAGAGTCGAACGGAGGTCCTTCGGTAATAAGCTGTAAGTGTAAAGTATCCCAAACACGGTATAAGCATTAAAATCCCGGATCCCTACAACATGAGTCGAGGCTGCAAGTTGAGGGTCAAAACTAACTGATTTTACTGGCACACAAACATGGCAATTTATGCGATTCCTCAGGTCCAAGGACAGCCCCCTGTGGACCTGATGGAATACAGGTACAGTACAAACAGGTAACCAATCACAGCACAGTGTATCATTTGAATTCGTACCCGCCCAGCTTGGAGATAATGAGGCCAACGGTTATACAATCTAATTATCTCCAAGCGCACAAAAGACCACCTTTTATTATGCCTCATAAAACTGTATAAAAATACATAACTTCCACATTAATAGGGGAAAACGGTTCATTCTACCATTCATTAAGTAGCTCGTATTCGGGTACATTAAACATATGAATGGCGCTCCAATCCCACGAACAGAATGATCTATTTCTGCCGTATAAAGTCCGTTCGGTATTTTGGATCGTGAGTCCCTGATGGCGGACATGTTTTTAGACGGTTTAACGAGCAGCGGGACCTCGCCTCTAACTTATGGAACTGAACTCGGGTATAAGTTCATGCGAATCCCTGCTGTCTGTCTGGTAGTGGAACTCGTTCGGTACATGAATTAGGACCACCTGGTAGCACGGTACTTGAGTTGCGGTTAACCGCAGAAACCACAGGCTAATTGCTGCCACATGACCCACTGTAGGGGGTCTCCGTTTGTGAGGTTATTCGGTAGTTCCCCTTTGGCGATTTGTGGGCGAACGTCGATCCTCCTTGCCCGTCAATTAGTCTGTGGTAGACCGCAGCCGCCTGGGTGGTTAATGGGCGCCACACTCCGCTTGTCGGGTGGTCGGCCATTCGGTACTTTGCGGGGTGAAGAGGTTAATTGGCGGCACACGCCAGCATTTGGGGGGTCTCTCGTTAGTATCACGAATGGGTCTTTATAAGAATTTGTATCATCCATTCGTGTTTCCCAGTGTTAAATGTATACGGCTGCAACAGTAACAACATGTAATAACAATAATGGAGTCATTTCGAGTCCTTTGTAACAGTTTCTAACAGTGCTGTGTTCTCAATTTTAAAGAATTCCTTATCTTGAATCTCGGTATGTCTGTGAAAATAATGTGTCCGTGTATCTTTACCTTCTGATACAAGATGGAGTCACATCTACGAAGTAGTGACTTTACAGTATACGTTTTTAATCTCAATATTATTACAAAACCCCTCACACTAATAATAGAAGATTTTAGCCTGAATGATTGACTGGTAATTCTGTCCTTGATTTGGAACCGGCGCTGGTGATGCAGACATCCCAAGTCTCCTGCAGTTTCCATGAGTCATGGAAGTGCCCCAGAAGTGGGGCAGTAGCTTGTGAAGCCACCTCCCTGAAATGCATGCTGGGATGTCTGATGATGTATTATCTGCCATATTTGGTTGTGAACCCACCTGTCTAGACTCTGATACAGTAGGACCATAGGATATTTTATATGATCCAATGCTGCACGGTTTATAAAAAGCAATATCCAGTAAAAGCCTGTATATCAGTGATGTTGTTCCAAGCGTTGAGGTAAGTGGTGCAGGAAGTAAACACTATAATAGTAACATATAGATTGCAATATATTAGCTGCAAGTCTCCTCAGTAAATAAATAGTCCATAACAGGTTTAAATCATTAATCTATCTACTGAGATCCAGAAAGGAAAACTGTCTGCTGTTATTTTGCTGATTTCATCCAACATCAAGAAGAGGAGCTGTGTTATATAAATGTCTTTATTTGAAAATAGCATAAATCAATAAATTATTTGTTATATATTTAAAGGGACACTTTAGTCACTAGAACAACTGTTGTGCACCCTCCGGGTAGCCTGATTGTACCAGGGAACAATTCTCTTACAAAAGATAAAGCACAACACCCCTTTGTCGTGGACCTCCCCTCATTTATACAACATACCAAACAGACTCTGCTAATGATAGAGAACGTAACAGTTCCACCTTATACTCTCCTGGCGAGTCTTGACGTGGTTTTGCTCTATAGCAACATTCCTCACAACCTAGGTTTGAAGGCAACTACTTTCTTTTTGCAAGGTTCACACACGTTCACAACACCTCAAAGAATTTCTTGTTGGAACTACTATAATTTGTACTTACTCATAACTATTTTGTTTTCAATGGCACTTTTTATTTATAGATTAGGGACAGAGCCATGGGTACAGCTTTTGCCCCAACCTATCTGTACCTAGGTTGGTGAGAGGCAAAAACTTTACTGATATAAACCCAGAGGAATGTAGTGACAGCTCCAAGTGCTGTAACCTTTGTATTAGTACAGAGTGTTCAGGTGCCATTCTAAAGGGGAGTAAAGCCAGTCTCTGGGTGAACGGCACAGCTACCAACACTGGATCATGGGGGGACAAGGTCAGGGGGTATTAGTGACACATGCTACATCGACAATGGTATAGGAGGGACGTGGCACACAGCACTGCTGTCATTGGTCAAAGAGAGTGCATATAGCGATAGCACAGGGTGAGCAGAACCAGAAAATCTAACCCAACCTCAGCATTATCATACTGAGAAATGCTGAAACTGGAGCAATCAGCAGGAACATTCGTTCAATATGCCTTTTGAAACAGTGTCTTCTTTAAGAAATGGTATGCCTTTGTGGGGTAGTTGGAATAAGCAATCTGCTAAAAAACACCAAAGTGGGACATGGACCCAGGGTAAAAATTCAAAGTTTAAAAAAACGAAACTGGAATGGTTGGGTCTCAAATGTGCCACTTTAACGTTCACATATTCCTGGCAAAGGTACATATGGGGGTATTTCTGTACTCAGACATAGCTGAGCAACAATGAAGTATTATACAGTCGTAGCACACATCATATTTGCAAAATATGCAGTACAAACTCACTGTGTGTGGCAGAAAGACACT